CCCCAAAACCCCAAAACCCCAAAACCCCAAAACCCCATCTATTGGAAATTATGAGTATTTAAGAGGAAAAAATAATAATTTGCATTAATATTAAATAATAATAAAGTAACTATGCCCAGAGGAAGAGGTAACTTTGATTTTTGAGTATATTTTCTTTTAGGAAAGGGAGGAAACAAGAGAAAGAAGGCGAAGAATCTTGGTATTGGAGAAAAGAGAGAACTCATCTTCAAAGAGGATGGTCAAGAGTATGCTCAAGTACTTAGAATGCTAGGTAAGTTGAAATACTTTGCTAATTAGATTAATAAATGAGATGGCATATCAACATTCTGACAGTGAAGTAAACAATTTTATAGGTAATGGACGTCTTGACGCCTTTTGCTTTGATGGAGTGAAACGTATGTGCACAATCAGAGGTACCTTAAAAAATCGTGTGTGGATAAATAATGTATTTCAATTAAAGTCTATAAAATGCTATTACAGGGTGATATTATTTTGGTTGGACTACGTGAGTTCGGAGACGATAAAGGTGATGTTATCCTTAAGTACTACGACGAGGAAGCAAAAGAATTGAAGGAACTAGGAGAAATCCCAGAACACATTAAAATTAATGAAGGTGATTTCGGATTCGAAGAAGATGGATTTCAATATGTTGATGGAGAAGAGGAGAAAGAGGAAGATGACCTCGATATTGATACTGTAAGTCATCTCATTTCATTACAACTAAATTAATACGATTTTATAGATCTGAAGAGAGACAATATTTAGAAGGGACAATATGGAAATATATTTACTATTAATTTTTAAGAATTAAATTAAATGATAATTAATTGTTAAGTTTATTCTATCTTAATCTTTCACTATGAAGATATACATAATTTAAATCAACTAATTGAATTTCAAATGTTCTAGTATTGACTATTCAAGCTTGTTGTATTCTATTACTAACAAGGATTTCCCAATTTAGGGGAAGATACCTTTGGATATTAAAGGAAGTCATTCATCTTTATAAACTAACCTTCAACATCTATTTCCATTTAAGTATTTGGAAGATTTGAATTCATCTAATCGATCTAAGAGAATTCATCAAATTCATTTGTGTTCTAACTAAAATCATAGTCGTCGTCTACTGCTTGCTACAAATCTTAAAATGTTGATGCCTGATTTCCAGAGCCTATATTAAAAATATTAGACATGAACTTTTGTAATTACTACTTACGTTTCTACTGCCTTTTAAAGTAACTTTTCTTGTAACTAGAGTTTAGGCTTGCTCCTTATTTTGAGTTACTTCTACTATGCTTACTTTACTTATCAGACGAAGAATCCTTAGCAGAGTTTGTTCTTTTAATAAGTTTCTATTGAGAATCTTGTCTAACAAGACTCATCAGTAGATTTTTAGTTTTATTTGCAGCTAGTTTAGTAGCACTTCTCTTTTTTCCTTCAGATGAAGTTTTGAATGATTGTTCGTGCAATTACTGAAAATCATTCATTTTAGATTAGATTTTAGATTCCTCATTCGAAATTGGACTCAGTCTAATTTCACTATCATTTTGTTCATTTTCTTTGCTATTGTTACTGTTAGGCCCTAAGTTAAAATCTGAGAATAGTTGATTTTAATTTAGATTTTATTCACAAAGATCTTCTAGGTAATCACCATCCATGTCTTCAAGATAATCTTCTTCAGAGTCGCTGTTATTTTCATCATCTCCTCCATCTACACTACTCAACAACATCATCTCGTCATGATTATGACTTTTGGAAAAGTGACCTTTAGTTTACATAGTTTTGTTCTGCAATTGTGTCTCGTATTTGTTAATTAAACTATCGATTAATTATTTCAGTGATGAGGACGAATCTGTTGATTTTTATGATTATCCTTTCCTAACAAGGCAGTTAAACCTATTTTTAATTTGATTCTCAGTTCTACCATTAAGATAATGACTGATTTCAGACCACTTATTTCCCATTTCTCTCTGCTTCTACAGTAAAACAAGATCCTCTTGTAAACTCCATTTTCCTTTTCTGATTGCTGGATTCAGTGTATTATTCCAACGCTCTCTACATTGTTTCCCGTTTCTAACTGAACCTGTGAAATGGTTTAAAGTATCAGCTATTTTCGTCCACTCTTTTGGACCCTCTTATTCAACTATTTATCAAAGAGCTTCATCCTCTTTTTTAGTCCAGTGGGATTTATTTCCCCCTAACTTTTGAATGAATAGCCATCTTTTCAAGCATTTAATTCTATCTCTAGTAGGAATAAATTCTGATACATTAGCCCAATCACTCTCATTAAATTCCTCTATAGAAAAGTTTTTCTAAAGTGCATAAGTAAATATACTCCACTATAGCAAATGGGTTTCATCATCTCTCCATGATGATGTATTTTTTTTATTTTTATTTGAATTTAAATTATTATCTTAAGAAGAGGCTGTAGTTTTCGCTTCTTGGAGTAGTTTGCTATAAATTTAATTTGCCTCAAAATCATTGATGAGATTCTCTCCAAATATATTGTAATCTTTGTCTTGAAATCTAAAAGCTACAACTTCTTTATCCTATGATGGGGTTTGACTGAATTTGCGCATGTTATTCATTTGATTATTAACTATTTAGGTCTCATATCCCTAGGAACCTATTATTCCATCACCTTCTCCTATTAAGTAAGCATCTAGTTCCAGATTTTATTAATTTTGAAACTGATTAGAGGTTTAAGAATAATAAGTTTCTTCAGGAGAAACTTAAGGTTATACAAATATTGGAGGCCTTCCAGGATAAAAAGGAACATTTGGAGCATAATTAAGATTTTTAAAGTAAGGAGTGTGATTGATATTTTATTCTGGGGTAAAAGGGAGTTGGGTCTGATGGCTTTTGTAATATGGCGGATTCTGATTAATGATTTCTTATTAATATTGATACATATTAGTTGGCTAAGCTATTACACTCTATTAGTGATATTGTTGTGATCTAGATTGTTATTGCATGTCACGGTTAGGTGGTAATTAATGGGAATATTAGGTATATTGCGGTTAATGATATTACTAGCGAGCTGACAACTGATTATTAATAGGCAGCTAAGATTTTTATTCAAACATAGGGCGATTGTAGGATCGAGGGCTCAGTTATATGTTGCTGGGTGGCATTTACTACTAAGGTTAGAATTCAAAAGGTATCTAAAATAATTAGTTTTAGGAAGATACCTGAGAAGAGTTATTCTAATAGTATGATCCTGTCTAAATATTAAATTGCTGCATAATTATTTTTTATAAATTCACTCTAGTATTCTCTTTTCTTAATTCAAATCCAAAAATATTATCCTAACCATACCTTGATAAATGAAGTACGGGGTTTTGGGGTTTTGGGGTTTTGGGG